GAATTTCTGAACCAATAGGGTGACAAGCTTACAAATTGACATGATCCCTTCCAGGAAGAAGTATAAAATTATTTTTCTGACAAATTTGAAGCTACGTGAACTTACTGATTGATTAGCTACGAGTCACGAGAAATTCCTTCCTTTGAAGAATGGCTCCTCTGTTTTTCCAATCTTCGGGAAGTTTTCGCTGATTATTCCAGGAATAAATCCGGTATGCGCTGATTCGATTGAACAATCAGAAAATTAATTTCTGCACTATTTAAATAACGTTTTTTTCGTGTGTTTCAAGGAAATTGTATTGATAGGTCAACAGGATTTGATATCGTGCCAGTGAAGGATTGTGGCGATTGACGCGTGGTTTCATGAGAACCGGCTGTGCGTGACATTCCCGGTGCTTCGGTGATTGAGTTGAAATTTTGAATCTTTCCCGTGACGGGCATTTGGATAGACGAAGTGATTGTGTGAGAATTGTTCAGTTTTATCGAGCTTTCGTGTGAAATTTTTACATTCTCAACATGTGGAGAATGTCGCGTTATCGCACGAGTGACTAATGTTCACGAAAATTATGCGTACCTTTTTCCTGTTTCGACGCGCAAGTTTTCATTTTATAGTTCAATTAATAGATGTGCGGAATCTTCTATCACTTTCCTGCCGTGAGGGATATTTTTGTGGCTTGATGACTTGAGATACGCTCAGAAAACCTCAAATTCTTGAAGTTTTGCTTAGAATCTATGACTTCGTCGATTAATAGCATGAGTGTAGTATTTCTGAAGTTGTTCGAACGTTTATCGCCCCGAATTCTCGAAAATTTGCATTATAATCCATTATGCAGTGCGTGAAATTCATTGGAATAGTGTTCGAAGAATTTAAAGTTTCCGTCTTGCAACCGCGTATGGAAGCACAGTATCTCTGTAAAGATGGTTGAATGAACACGCGTAGTGTCTAAAATTCTTTGGAATTCTGCGTGGAATTCCTTCAACTCGGTTTCTTTTTCGAATGTGGAATGCACATGGAGAAATGTTGACACGCGAAAAATTCCCGGATCGCGGACCTGAAACGTATGGGAATGCAATAGAAGGAAAAAGAGAGTGGATCGTGATCGTCACACCTTCAACGCGATCACGAAGTTAGAATCGGAACCTTGACGTGTTTGCATAGTGACTGTGATGGTGGAGCGACGATCGACAGTGCATGCAGTCATGTCGTGTGTTATCGAGTTCATATATACTTGCGCTCATACTTCATTGGAAACTTGTCCAATCGAACCTGTGTAAACATTTCTGCGGTAGTTGGCGTCTAACCAGCCCGGATAGATCGAATTTCGTAATTTATTCACCAATAGTGGTATGGTAATCGGTCCCGGTCCATGACCCACGGCTTCAAGTCGCCCGTGATTGTGTTTGATAAATTTGGCGTTGGAGTCGGATTCCCGTGTTATACCGTGTGAGGTCGTATTCTCTAATGAGGAAACTCGTTTTCCTCCATGATTTTTTCAGTACTGTAAAATACAGTGTGGCACGTAGACTCATGGCTTTGTTCGGTATTTCTAGCCCATTTATCCTAGAAAGGCTCATAAACCAAGTACAGTATGGTAATGTGTAGCTGAGCACTGTATGAAGAATGCCTGAACCATGGTGGGACTTTCGTACTCAGACATTCAAATTAAGAGCAATACATTTCATCTTTTAATCATTTTGGGAGGAAAATTGTTCCCCACGTTCAGCCATTTCTTCTGTGTCCTGCATGGATGAGACACTGATGGAAAAATACTTTATTTGAAGTTTACTTAGTTAATTCTTCCAGATATTCAAGCTTACATTCCAACATCAAAAGTTGGAGAACCACTTCTATGTTTTGGCGGGTCCCACACTGCAGGAAATGGCTTAAAACCCCACTTGAAGTCCCTGAATAACCAAGTACTGTACAGTATAGTAATGTGAAGCTGTGCAAAATGGCTATATTTTTTGGATCTCCTGAAAATTGCCCTCACAAATCATAAAAAAGATAAATTAGTACTGTAGTTGAATATTTTTTGAAAATGGATTGTTATGTTACATACTTACATGTCAATTTAAACCCTCAGAACCAAGGAAAATAATGCTGATGAAAATCAAAAAGTTTCTATCCACTTTAAAATTAACTATGACAGATCTTGCACAATGTGAATCAAAAATTCGCAGCTTGTCTACAGTGTTTTTCTCTGTATGACAAATTTTTGTGTGGTCCCACCACGTTCTGTCCCCATGTTTCAAGGGTTCCCTATGACAAAATTCTCTCCACAACAAATTTTTTTATGGTCCCTTGAGTTTCATTGAAGAGAGACTGTCTGTGTTATATGAAGGTAGAGATGGAAAACTGCAGTAAGTTAATCGAGTACAGTATTGTACCTGTCTGCTTTCCAAGCAAGAACCGTGTCAGCAAGAACGGTCTTCCCATGCACTGTATTGTATTGCTTCATGCATGAGTTGGCCTTCCAGGGATTGTGACAGTGCTGTGTACCATGAGCTGTGCATGCAGTGCGCTTGAGGCTGCCGATGCGCGAAGAGGTTCCTCAGAATCGTAGGCAACCTGGCCGAGAGGTCATTACCACTTTCAGTCGTAAAATTCAATGGGGGTTTCCCCCGCGTGACTCAACCTGATCATTGTCATGAGTTCCCCGTGTTGCAAATGATATGAATCTTTCGTTAAAAGTGTTTTCTGATCGATGAGAACTGCGATTGAGCGGGATTCGTGCGTGTGCCAAGTTGAATGTTCAAGGACTTGTTGTGACCTTTGACGATTGTAATCAGATGACCGTCGTTGCAGGAATTATTACCGTAATCCGGAGTTCGTGAGTCCGAGTAAATTAAGTCGTTGAACTTTTGTCGCTATTCCTGTTACAAGATTAGCATGTTTCGCAACTGAACTAATTTTTCACCGCTATAAGAAGTGAAGCATGGGGCCTTTTCGGGACGAGTTTCCGCGGATCCAGTTGTCGCAAGGCGGCGGGTATAATTCTCTTGTGAGTTCCGAATCATCGCTTCGCAGGAAAATGAGTTACTGAAGTCGCACGCGATGCGTTTTCTTTTACCGTGTCTGGATGTGTTTCAGGGAAGTGGGGAACACTGCTGTGACTTGATGTTTTCTTAAAACGTGAAACGATTGTGTTCATCGTCCGGCCGCCGCGAGTATTGACCAAAATGGGAAAGCGGTTCGGTAACGAAGTGAGGTTAATCCTCATGTTCTTGTTGACAACAAGCTTTTTCCTTGTCGAAATTATCGTCGGCTATGTCTCCAATTCCATGGCACTCGTGGCTGACAGTTTTCACATGCTTAGCGACGTCGCCGCGTTGATAATTGCCTTCATCGCGATCATGGTGAGTTGAATAATAAATCGAGTGTCTGTGAACTGTTCTGACGACTTATTATTTTTCAGATCGCGCCGAAGAAGTGGTCCAAGAGCACTTTTGGATGGGCTCGTGCTGAAGTCCTTGGAGCCTTGATAAATGCAGTGTTCCTTCTAGCCCTGTGCTTTTCTATCGTCGTAGAATCTCTGAAGCGCTTCTACTCCTTGGAGAAAATTGAGAATCCGTTTTTAGTGTTCATTGTTGGCCTCGTTGGACTCGGTGTGAATCTGATTGGGCTTGTGCTTTTCGCCGGACATGGGCACCATCATCATGGTCATTCTCATGCCCATAGTCATCGCACTAAAGACTCTATACCGACTCCAGAACTAGTGGAAGGTCTTCCTATGCGCGGTGCTAATGCTTATGTTCTGAAGGATGGTACTGAGGTTCTCGCGGATTTGTCAGAAGATCAGTGTGAGCAGGTCAGTTCTCGTGTTTCCTTCCTTAAGCATTTTCCCGTGTTTCTCCGTTCTTGAAAAGATCTGTTACTCGAACTCACTTACAGGAATGTGTCCGAGATTGCTTGTTCACGTTGACCGTTCAAAGAGTAAGTTGAGAATCATGCAGGCGTTTGCACCGTTGACAGCTTTATCAGGGCTTGTATAGTGAAAAGTTAATTAGTTGGCTTGCTATTTATTAATATTCTGGTGAATTTTCTGATGATTTTGCCGCAAATATTGCCGGGTATTTTAGTCCAACTAACCGAGCTTCATGATGCACGGCAACTTTCGTTCTTCTTGAACACCCTTCTCCTAAAAATGCTTCAGGTCTTCCTGCTTTCCGATTCGAATCATTTACCACTGGGTATCGTGAAATTTTCTCCGAAGCGAAGAAGGCTCAAGCCAGGTTTTTTAATATTCAGAGATTATCGAAATTTTGAAATATCCTGTACAACGATGTAAAGAAGAAGTGTACATTTTGAGATTTTAATTGAACTGCATCAGTTCTAAGAGCACATGTTGCAAACTTCTTAGGAATTGCACATCTTGCGAAGGCATTATGAGTTATGTAATCTTTGCACAGTGATTTTAAGAGGATAACATATGATTTATTTGCTGAACGCATGATTTCATTTTTTTTTAAACTACCCTTTCTGAAAAATTTAATTCTCTCTTTGCGTAATGGCACCGCTTCTGTGTATCTACAGTGTTCATTCAAAGCCCCCCCCCCCCCCGCCAAAAAAAATTTAACGAACAAAAATCTTCAATCTTCCAGGGATACCGGATCGGTTTTCCCCCGCCTCTTTTGCATGTCGAATGCTGTTACAACGACATTTTAGTTCGACGAATTTTTCTTCTAACCCAAGCAGAATTTGGCCAGATCAATTTTAAAAATCCCGATGTAACGATGGATCAAAAATTTCCCTAAATTTATCATTTCTTCGAGCTTATTTGTCCCAACCTGTTCCGAATTTTTCAACTCTTGATTTGCTGAACAGAAACAAATTTAATTTAGATGGCGAACAGTTTTGCTTGTGGATGTACGAACAGAAAAACTGAAAAATGTTTCACAAAATGTTGGCACCATATTTTTTGTGAGAACGCAATTTTGTGTGAGGAAAACTGCTCAAAAAAGTTGTAAACGTCTGATTTTGTCTGCTGAACTTTCCTTTTTCATCAGGAAAACTTCGTTTTGGACATGCAAAAGTTTTGGCATTTTATTTTTCTGAAAATCTGTTTTGAAAGAATTTTTCAGAATTTACTATGCATTCATGTCCCCAACAGTTCGTTATGACGGGATTCTTTGTGGAAAGCATCCAAATGCATGTTTTCGGTCGTGTTTTTTTTATTCAAGTGATGAATTTATAAAATTGTTATCGTTTCGTGAAAAAGGAATATTGCGAAGAAGAAATGCGGAGCAAGAACGGCAGCTACCACGCACAGAAGGCGGCTGTTCAAAAGGCGACCCCGGAGAATCCCGTAATTGTGTCCGTCAACGGAATGGGACCAGCGTCCAAAGCAAAGGAGAAGGATCGTCATAAAAAAGCTAGCAACATGAACATGCAAGGAGTTTTCTTGCACATTCTCGGTGATGCCTTGGGCTCAGTGATCGTAGTCATTTCAGCTGCAGTTGTGCAGTGGACCAGTTGGCAGTACAAACACTACCTTGACCCAGTTCTCTCTATTGTCATGTCGCTGATTATCATCCGATCTACGTGGCCTTTGTGTGAGTGGAAAAAGGTTTTATTATTAATTTTTTCGTGTTAGAAAATTTGCTTGGTCATGGGTTCTGGTGCGAGCATGAAACCCGAACGGGATTCATGAAGTGGTCAAATTTCTTTGCGTCATCGTTGTTAGTGTTTGTCGGGAGAATAGTTGAAGATCAAGTTCTTTTTGGCTCATTTTTCTATATGTGCTTTGAATATGGGCTTTGGAAATTGATCTCTTGTCCCAAGTAATTCACTTTTACAAAAAATCCGGGTATCTCCAGGGAAGAAGAATCTTCATCTTGAACAGGAAATGTTTTTCACGGGCATAAATTCTTCGACGTGTCTCAAAGTAAAGTTCAAGCGTTCTAGGATGAATCCTCATTATTATTCAGTTGAATATCCAATACGAAAAGATTCTTGGGTACTCGGATGTTCTTTTGGAAACCAAAATTCATTTAAATTGTCATTCTTTCCTCGGTCTGGTGAGTCTTGAAATTTGTTGAAAATCGGGAAAATGTTTACCTAAAACTTCGTGGTCCCTAATCTCAGCTTTTGTCCTCATGTGAGGCATCTCAGTTTTGTTAAAGAAATCAACAGCTGTGTAAAGCAGAAAAATGATGGATGTGTGGACATTTTAGTACTGCGTCTCGTCGTTACGCAAGACCATTACATAAGAAAAACGGGTTCCGAACGCCCAAGTTTTACTGTATTTTCTAGACCAAAAATTAAAGTTTTGTCCATCAATTATCTCAGTTCTAAAAACGGGAATGGACTAAGTGAGGTAAGGCAGAAGAAAATTCAAAATGCCTTGTGGGAAACCATTCGAATCCTCAGTCTGTTCATCGCATGCGAAGAATAGGTTCAATGCTCACGTATCTCGTTGCCAGAATTTATTTTTCACTTCAGATTATTTGCAGGGTTTGAAATTGCTTTGCTGTATGTGCATTCTTCAGCCGAAATCAAAGTAGAATCTTGTTACATCGAAGCGATTGGGACCTTACAAAATTCGTGAAAATAAAATTTCTAAATGTCCAGTCATCTTTAGGATTTGTTAAAACGAGATTTGTACTTCATAATTGTTTTCTTCAAATATTTCATTTTGAAACGAAAATCAGCGGAGTGTCGTGAAGCGAATTTTCCATAATATTTGATTTAATGACTAGAATTGAGATTGTAATTGTACTGTATACTTTTTTTCCTCACGAATGTTTCGTTTTCGAAACGGAAATCAGCTGAGTGACGTGAAGCTAAATTTGCATAAAATTTTGTTTGGTGACCAGAATTGCGTTTTTCAACGCGTTAAAATTTTTTTTTTTCAGTGATTGAAAGTGCCATGGTGTTGCTGCAAACCGTGCCGACGCATATTGACGTGCAGGAGATTGAGAAGAAGTTGTTGGCCATTGAAGGGGTGCAGGGTGTGCACGAGTTCCACGTGTGGCGTTTGACTGGCGACAGGATCATAGCCTCGGCGCATATCACATTCCACAGCATGGCTGATTACATGCGAATTGCTGGTCGTGTGAAACGAGTCTTTCACGACGAAGGCATTCATTCCACTACGATACAACCTGAAGCTCTGGACGTGAGTTCGCGGGAAATTTTGTTCGAATTTATTTCATTTTTTTTTTGTTGAAAGAATGCGATTTGTACTCTTGTTAGAAAACTGATTCATTTCGCTTTCGGGATAGTTTCTGTTATATGAAACGTTGTTTTGCTCGTCTTCTGATCAATCTGTTCTAGACACCTGTTAGACCGCGTGAAGTCTCCGCATAACGAAAGGCCCACGTGACGAAAAATCCACCTAACGAAAAATAAATCCCCGTTTTTGTAATGAGTGTAATGTTTTAAGTGCTTTGATTAAAAAAAACGGGCTTTTTACGCGTTTACAACTTTTAAATGGACCTTGAACTCTTAAAAAGCTCTTCGTCCTTATTTTTTAATCAGGAAAGAAAAAGTAATGTTTCGCATCTTCGTGTCTGTTGTCAGGATTACTTCAATTTCACGCTATTTAACATCAAATTCCAAAATTTCTGATGATGAAAAATTTTTAGTTTTATTGTTTTTTTTTGAATGGTTGGAACCAATTAAATAAATTGCAGTTTAATCTCGAGGGAAAATGCGTTCAATGAAAACCGTGAAGGAACGGATTAGTTTCGTTACGCGGGGACCTACTGTATTCAGCGAATTAACAAAATGACGTACAGTAGTTGAATAAATACGGGATTTTACAATTTTTTCGTTTTTGCAGACTTGAGACGAAATTTAATTTTGCGTTCTCGTGAAGAATGTTTTTTGGCGTGTCAAAAATTCCCTCTTGCTTGCGTACACAGTATTCGTAATGGAGCAAATAGTTTTCCCCCCGAATTTTCTCGTTGTATTTCTTCAGAAGCTCATTGCCCTTCAGACCTTGTTCGAATGAATTGCTTCGTCTTGCGACCTCAGTCGTGATTTATGTTGATTTCGTTTTCTTGAATAGATCCAGAACAATGGGAACACATTAGTCCAGAATGCGGACAAGTTGTGCACCGTCAATTGTCCTTCCGAGAACGATTGTGCAACGAATACCTGCTGTCCTCCTCCGAAAGTAAGTTTCATCTTTCTATTCGATCAAATGGTACGTTTATTTTGATGAATTTATTATAATTTTTGAAAGGAAAAACCCATCGAAGTTTTCCCAGACAATTTTTTGTGCCATGCTAAAGTTTGCGTTTATTTCGTGAGTTTCTTTGAATAGAGAATATGCGAAAGATAAATCTAATTCGTTAATTTTTTATTTGAGAAATATGTACAGTAATAAATAACGTATTTTGTGTACAGATTGCTTGTGATTCATGAATGCACACGAAACGATGATCATGTAATCCTATCTAAACAGGACCCATTTTTACTTGGCCGACTGTGATGGACATATTTTTAAAAATAGAATGCGGGTGTGAAACCATTGCGCTGAAATTATTGCGGGAAACATCTGAAAAGAACAATGAATCTATCTTGAACGTTCAGGACCCATTTTTACTTGGCCGACTGTGATGGACATATTTTTAAAAATAGAATGCGGGTGTGAAACCATTGCGCTGAAATTATTGCGGGAAACATCTGAAAAGAACAATGAATCTATCTTGAACGTTTTTTGTGTCCAGATTGCTGATGATCGATGAATAGGATATTTAACGATGAATAGGATATTTAACGAGCAATAGGATATTTAACGAGGAATAGGATATTTAACGATGAATAGGATATTTAACGATTACCACGTGACGTATTCTGCCGATGTTATAGCTTCGTTGACTGATTATGGACATGATTAAAAAAAAAAAAGCGAATGTGAAACGGTGACACTGAAAGTATCATGAAAATTCTGTTAAGAGCGTTAAACCTGTACGAGGAAGGTCTGTTCGTGCCCCAATTGCTTGTGACTTATGAATACAACATTTGACGATGTCCACGCACAATTCTCTGCCAATTGGTTGTCGCTGATGGACATACAATATTTCGGAAAGAGATTGATGATGAGGGATGTGTGAAACGATTACCGTGAAATGTTTCTTCTTCAGGAAATCTCAGCGAAGAACGAGACGGAATCCACTAAGAACAGGTCGGATCGCAACAAGCGTCTGGATGCCAGCAACATTCTCGCCGCCACGCTTTTGGATCCGAACCCGGCGAGTGTTCGCAGTCACGGGGACACGTGGTGCGGACCCGAACCCGGGCACCACGAGGAGAAGGACACGGGGAGTCATCCCCTGGTAGCTCAATGTTCTGGCAGTGAAACTTGTGATACCTGCGGAGTCAGTGAGGAGAAGTCGCAGGACTTTGGGAAAGAGTCCATCGTTTGACCCCGCCTGGAACCTAAAAAAAAGAATATCCCCACCGCTTTTTATTTTATGTTAATTTAGTTTGGTCTTGAAACATTCTTTGCTTTTTCTGTCGCGTTTATTATGAATGCGTTAGTTTTCCCCCAACTTTGCCGAGGTAGTTTCTTGGTGATTTATCTGCGTTTCTATTTTTTTTTCCGGTTTCAGCACAGAATTCTGAGCGCGCGAGGAAACGAGGAATGGATTATTGCCATGATTTAAACAATTCTTTGAAGTCGTAATCTGTCCATTGTCGAAATCGAGGCCTGTGTTTGGAAAGTCATTGTGTCAGCTACGCGTTCTTTTATGGCAGTTTTTGAATACCGAAACGTTGGATGACTTTATTGGCAGCGAATTTTTTTTTAATCGATTCCCGGTTAATTCCTTTTTATGCGTTTTTATGACGTAAAATATTTTCAAGTTTGCCGATTTTTCGCTACTGGAAATATCCAGACAACGTTTCGTTTGCATGTTATGTAGGGAAACAAATTTGTATCTCTAAATTTTATTTCTTTTATCGTCACGAAAGCGTAGCATTAGTTTTAAAAAATCCATCTTGCGAATGTATTCTTGGGGAACAAATTTGAACTCGACAGCGAGATATTATTGTGCAGATTTTATTCGTTCATGTAGGTTTTTGGGATTTTTTGAAAATTATAACTTTGATACTTTTTCCAGTTTAATCAATTTTCCTGTCAAACGAAATTCTTCTTCAGGAGAAGTGGTACAAGATTTTCCCTCTTGTTTATTCATCGCTTGACAAGTTTTACTCGGACTAAAATTTAGGGTTCTGGAATAACTTTTTCGAGCAAAATTACGGAAAACCGCCAATGATTGGCCTACTCTTTCGGGAATGGACAGATGTTTTTCGTGCTGCAAAATATGCCAAAATTGCGTAGCTTTCAGGTCAAAATTTAGTCATCCTAGATGGCTAAATTAGTTGCATTGCTTTTTGCTCCATTTCCGACAATCTTGATGTTGACGAAATTATTTCATTATTACGAAGCACTTCTGGTAATTTTTGACGCTCTGCAGGAATAGCTTAATTAAAATTGAGGAGAATTAATGAAATTTGGAAAACTGGAATTCATGGAATTGTTAAGAGGGGGTTTCCCGAAAGTTTTGGAAATGTTGACTACGCAATATTGTTGATATTATCGTAAAACTTTTGAGAAGCCCATATTCAAGAAAATGAACGTTTGAATCGTCCGAGTTTTCTTGACCCTGATTTTGTGTCGAAGTGCACTTTTCATTGTGTTTTGACGCAATGACATAATTCAAGATGAAAACAGATGAAAGGTAACGATGGATTTTTCGAATATAGATTAAGCAAATTTTGAAAGCATAGATTCTTTCTCTATTGGTTGAAGACCGAGTTAATTCTTCGAACAAATTGTTTGAAGTTTCTTTTATCCTCTGGCGAAATCATGCCTGCAAAGGACAGTGACCCGCGTTTTCCGCGAATCTCTGCAGTGCCAATTCTGCACCGTATTTATTTGCCCACCCCGTGTTTGCAAAATTTTTCGAAGCGTTACCATATTGCCTGAAGGAGGAATCCTGCATTTTCTGTTTCATCTGAAATCTTGTTTTGCCTATTGATTGTGCTTATGTGGAAAGTCTTTCAGGGGGAGCCAACAGTCGCTTTTTGTGGATGGGAAAAAATGTCTGTTTAGGAATGTCGCTGAAAAAATATTATCTCTGAAGAGCATGTTGAAGATTATACAGTATTTAACTTGATGAGGAAGCTTGAATAATCCATCTTTGGTTCTAAGTCACAATCAAATTTTAATGTTCCTTTTTCAGAATGTTTCACTTTTTTCTAATCAAGTTTCAAATTTATTTTTAGGAATGATGGAAGGAATGCAAATGTTTTCATAAATTTCTACCAAAATGTGTAAATGTTGAAGTATTTCAGCTGAATCTTTTTCCAAAGATCAATTCATCGCACAATCACGATTTTCGCCAATTTCGTACATTTAGCATTTTCGAAAAAAATTGTTACCTGTGAGTGAAAAACTGAAAAAACAAAAATCCCGCCTTTTTTAGTGTGCATTGCTATATTTGGATTGTTTGGATCCTTTTTTATTGCAAAAATAATTAGAACTGATTTGTTTCCATGATTGAAGTATAGTACTGTATTGTGTCGGAATATTGGATGCCCTGAGAATGACTTGTTATGACTAAGATTGCTTAAATGATTTATCTGTCCTAAGATACGCTTGGGATTTTTAAAATTATGCCGTGGTTAGTGTATCTATGATACCGGAAAACAATCCGTTACATTTGTTCAAGGTCACAATTTCCCTTATGTTCAGGATTTTTCTGAGCAAAAAGTTTTAGAAATGAGAGTCATGGTTTTCCTTTATGTAAGATTTGTGACTTGGTTGCTGCTTCTGATTTAAGCCAAGGAATCGCTCTGCAGCTTATTGTTGAACGAAATTCGGTAATTTCCCTGTTGTCCAAAATTGCCTGGAGAATTGTGATTCAATCAAATGAGAATTTTAATAGTGATTCAGCATTTAAGTCTTTTTTTTTGCTTTAAGATACCACCTGTAGTGCATGGCAAAGGGTTACAAATTTTGCACAGCTGTGAAAAACGTTTTCAGATTCTTTTCGGACCCCGAGAGAGAGACATTTTCATGGCACCTGTTTTTATAGTGCAATATGCGAGTCGCTAAGTGATGGGGAAACATTTTTCAGAAATGTGTGTAAGTTTGTGGCATTTCTTGCAAAAAAAAGACAAAAATTTGTCACCGGTTTCCGGTAGCTTTTTGTGTTGAACTTGCTTTTCATTAGAATTTTTTTGGTGTGTCGAGATTCCCAGCGTCTGTGTGTGCAAGTCAGAACAAGTGTGGGGGCATTTTTGTATTTGATAAAAAGAAAAGAAGGAAAAATCTTGACTTCCTTTCGAGGAGTTGGAGTTCGCAGACAATTGGTTCAGCAGTCGTTTCTCTGACAGGCTGAGAACTGTTTGAACTCGGCGTTTATATGTTTAAAAAAAATTTTGTTCTGGGGGCAGTATTGGCGGCGAGCGGCTGCGTTATTTTTCTATTCGACATGGTCGAACGGAACACCTGTCCCTCCAATGCTTTGTGTTTGTCAGAGGGGTAAGATTAATAAATGGGTTCCTCTATGACTGCTTTTTGGCACAAAGATTTTTTATTATTTTTCCCATCAGCAGCGGTGTTCTTGTGGATTGAATAGATACCTTGGAATCCTGTTGCAGCAAAATGAAATAAAAAACTTCTGTAATGCTGGTGGACTCTCAACATCAAACTTGTCTACCACAATTTTCTCTGTATAACAAATTTTTCCTTGAATCCATAATGTTCTCTCTCCATCTTATGTGTCTCAACAACAAAATTCACTCTACAATAAATATGTTCTGGTCTCCGAATTGTTTGTAGAGTCCTCTTTTTGGACTCATTTACAACTATTTTTTACCACCAGGTGGACTCTATGATAATTTACAAAAAAATGTTATTTGGTTGCTTAGGGTTCTCTCTTCATCTTACATAGGTTCTCTACAACAACTTATCCTCTACAATGAATTTGTTCTGGTCCTTTGAATCTTGTTGTTGAGAGAGTCCACCAGGTGCACTCTTTCTAAAACCAAATTTTCAAACTATGTTCTCTGTATCAATATTTTTCTGTAGCAACTTTTCCAATGATCATTACATATCATGGTAACTAGAGTAGCTTCAAACAGAATTTCTATAAAATAAAGATTTGTAATTACAAAATCCACAGAAATATTGTGGTTATGAAGAGCATGGTCTTGGAACATAATTATGGCAAAGAATGTGCTCTGATGAGGTTTGTTGCAACACAATTCTATGTAACCCTGACATCAAGATCCATCATGTATGCTGTACTGTAAACTAAGTAAAGTTGTTGAAAATACAGTACTGTAATTAGTTGTACTTCAATAAAATGATTCAGAACTTTAGAAATCTCATGTGATCCTACTTGATGTAATTTGGATGAAAGCCTGATATCCTTGAAATATTCATTATAAATCAATAAAAGCTCTGAGTGCATATTTAAATGGTTAGGAGTGCAGTATTTGTTGATAATGACATTTTGGCTCTGATTCAAGTTCAAAGGTTATGACAGCTGTGACAAAGTCAATCATGAACTTGACCAGCTGATCTAAATGTAAGGTGCACATGATTAAAAGCCATTTTACATAATATAGGATCACAAACAGAAATAAATTTAGAGGCATAATTTTGCGAGTCTTTTCTTGAATTGTAAACCCTCATATATCAGCGTTGTCACGTGAACCAATATCTCTTAAATATATTTCCTGTTACTTTCCAGCAATTAATATACAGTGAGACCCCCACATGCGGACACCTCAACCTGTGGACAATTCAACATAGGGACACTTATTTTCCCAGAAAAAAATTGATAAAAAAGGCCCTGACATGTGGACACTGACTTGACATAGGAACATTTTGTGATAAAATTGCAAAAACATTTCAGGCCAATTTACTAGAAACAGATATTTCCAACGCTAAAATTTATGGAAGAAAAGTTTGTAGCCATTTCTCTCACCAGATTACCATCCTTTTAGCTAATTTAAAAAATTCCTCCAGCATAGAGGGACTTCTACTTTTTTTCACTTGAAAGTTATTTTTGTAGATGCCAACATTTCAGTGTACAGTACAGAGATACACTATTCAATGCTCCAAATGTTCTTATTGAGTT